GTGCGCGCACACGCCCACACACACACACACACACACACACACACACACACACACACACACACACACACTCTTCCTGTGGGTTTTAACTTGAGGTCACTGAAACCAGAAAGGGGAAGAATGCAAACCACAGCTTTTGAAAGCCATGTGAGAACAGGGCTTTGCTGGTAAATATAATAACAATAAATGAAGTGGAAATAAAGTAATAGGCGTTAAATGTGTGCTGCCCTTTAACCCCCCTCTCCCTAACAGGTGTCCTAGTGGTCAATGTCACGTGGAGGAACAAAACATATGTGGGGACCCTACTAGACTGCACCAAGCACGACTGGGCCCCTCCTAGGTGGGTACCTTTTCTTTCTTGCTCCTTCCTCTGCTTCCCCCTTCCCGTTTCTGCAAAGAAACTACAGAAAGAAATGAATAAGATATAAAACTCTTCCTGTAATTGAAACCAGGCAAAGGAGAAATGAGCCATTTAGGCCTTAGCCAGTAAAGTGCAGATGCTAGCTTTTCTGTCAGATCCCTTGTCCTCTCCCTCCCCTCTCTCCTTTGTTTTCTTCTTCTCTTTTTCAAAATGGCAATTTGAACTGATTGAAAAACCAGCTCTTTGAGCTACTTTCCTGTGATTCTCTGTGGGTGAATGTAATCCATTTGGTAGCCCGCTCTTGAGCCGATGTACCCATGCTAAAATAGAACGTCCTTCACTTGGCTGCACTTGGCCCTCCAGCCAGCAAGGTTGGGTCTGCTCTGTGCTCCCTTGGGTCCCTGTGGTCTCACCTGGCTCTTTTGGAGATGCTCATTATGACCCCCATTTCTTGCTTCCCTAGGTTTTGTGAATCACCAACAAGTGACCTAGAGATGAGAGGGGGCCGAGGCAGAGGGAAGAGAGCGAGGTCTGCGGAGGTCTGCCGCGGCTGCCCCTGGCTCCGAGGTCAGCTTCACAGAGTCCAGAGGGCTGCAGAGCAAGAACAGAGGGGGGGCCAATGGGAAAGGGAGGCGTGGCAGCCTCAACGCCAGTGGACGAAGGACACCCCCAAACTGTGCTGCAGAGGACATCAAAGCCAGTCCTTCCTCGACCAACAAAAGGAAGAACAAGCCTCCTATGGAGCTGGATCTGAACTCCAGCTCTGAGGACAGTAAACCCGGGAAACGGGTCCGCACCAATTCTAGAAGCACCCCCACCACCCCTCAAGGGAAACCAGAGACTACATTTTTGGACCAAGGCTGCTCCTCTCCAGTGTTAATCGATTGCCCCCACCCAAACTGCAACAAAAAGTACAAGCACATAAATGGCCTGAGGGGACACCAGGCTCATGCACACTTAGACCCAGAAAACAAGCTAGAGTTTGAGCATGACAGTGAGGACAAGATCTCAGACTGTGCGGAAGCCTTGAGTAATGTGGCCC